CCCACCCCACCCCCGCCTTTCCCCACAACGCGCCCATGTGTCAGAAGATAAATGTATCAAACGCACCTAGGTGACTTGGGATCCTAGATCCCAGTTTCCAGTGACAAATGGCCAGGACGTGAAAGGGATTCAGGCACCTAAAGAGCCAGTGGAATGGGTTAGTGGACTTTTCCAAAGTACCCCAGCTCCCACTGAAATCCCCCCAAGAGTTCATAGCCTCCTGTTCAAAACTGCCCCTAAGCCACCTTTGCATGTATCAAACGCACCTAGGTGACTTGGGATCCTAGATCCCAGTTTCCAGTGACAAATGGCCAGGACGTGAAAGGGATTCAGGCACCTAAAGAGCCAGTGGAATGGGTTAGTGGACTTTTCCAAAGTACCCCAGCTCCCACTGAAATCCCCCCAAGAGTTCATAGCCTCCTGTTCAAAACTGCCCCTAAGCCACCTTTGCAAATGGGACTTGGGCACCTGAGTCCTGCAGGCGTGTTAGCAAGTTTACCTCATTGCCTCATTTCAAACCAGGAAACCTTTAGCCCAGTCACAGTCTAAATAAATCAACAGCATTTTAACAACCTTCCCGAGCAGGTAGGGCACCAGCTACCAGGGCTGGAACACCTTCCCCCACGAGCCCCGGCCCGGGAATGGGAAGGGAAAGTAAATGCACGTAGCTAAGATCTGACTTTCACTCAGGAGAGGAAGAAGGAACTCCGTGTGCAGAGTCAGTACTGGACGCCCACACTCACAGCTTCTGGCAAAACCAGTCAGTCACTATTACGTACTATCGCTTCAGGTGAAAGCCCGGAGCTTTTACTCAGTTCTTTCTAAGTCAGTGTGCCCGCCTCACCCTCTGAGTGGGCTATACTCCTTTGTGACTCAGTTGGCCCCAGTTCTGAGCTCGGACTTAGAAGATCAGTGAGTCACACCCACTCGGCACAATGGGGTAGGATATGGTTAATGTCTCAGGACCTGGAGAATCCGGACCATTGATATTAATGGGGTTTCTCCTGCTTTCCCCCAGTGTGTGAGTGATGGTTTTGCCAGGGGAGAACCTGCGGATTTGGCCCACAGACAGGAAAAACAAATCCCTCTTTGGTATAAAGTACAAGGAACTGCTTAAGGAAACCAACAGCCCGACGTGGCTGCAGACCAGACAAGACCCACGGCCCCCCTCCATTATCATAGCTTCAGTCCGGAGTAAATGTCGGGCCCACCCTGTGCCTATGTCCCTTGGCATCCCGATCGCTCTGTTCCAATAAACGCCAGGCAGTGACTCACCTCATTGGCCTTCCTGGCTGCCTCGCAGGTGAGCAAGTTGTGCCCCTTGTGCGCTTCGGCCAGGCACTCCTCGCAGACACAAACCAGGTCGGTCTGGCAGAACCACCCCAGCGGGCCCCTGTGAGCCTCACAGGTCTGTAGGTCAACGTCCTTCGCGGGGTCCATCAGCTTGTGTCTCTGCAGCCTGCTGTTCTCCAGGTGAGGCCGGAGGTGGTCCTCGCAGTAATTCACCATGCAGGTCAGGCAGGACTTCACGGCCGGGGCCTTCTGCGCCATGCAGAAGTCACACAGGATCCCTTGCCCATCGTCCTGCTCCGGAGAGCCGGCCGGGCCCACTGCTGTCTCAGGGCCAGTTACAATCAAACCGCCCTGCAGCTCAGGCTCTGGGCTAGTGGATCCTGGGCTTTCGAGGCCATTTCTCTCTGGACCCTCATTTTTCTCACCTGGCAAGTCTCTGCCCTCGCAGACCTGAGGTCCCATTGCCTTAGGGGCAGGGCCACCTAGTACCAATTCCCGGGTCAGCCCTCCTGGAGCAGTATAGTCGCAGTCAGCCATTCCCCGCTGCTCTGCCTTCTGAGGTGCGCACAGCCCAGGTAACAGCCCAGAGGAGGAGGAATGAGAGAAAGTGACGCACCTGAACTCACCCAACTGCCTGGAGCGGTTAACTCTTTCCAGACGCGCAGTCAGAGCCGGGCAGCTAACAGCTGTGTGAGCTCGAAGCGCGGCTGCTCCTTCCAGCTGTGGTTCTTGTCACTGCCCCTGTCTCAAACCTCCCTCCTCCCGCTCCGACTGGCTGTCCTCAGACCGTAGAGCCCCAGCTGGTTGGGAAGCTTTTCTTTCCCTCCCAAAATGTCACATTTTCACCAGGAACCCTGGAAAGTTCAGCTGAAAACTGCTGAAAATAAACAGAAAAAAATGGGTTTGGGGTTTCCAACAAAAAACGTCACAAATTTTCAAGGAAAGGAGACCCCCTTCTGCAGAAACTTTCCTTTAATATTCAGATTTCCAGTGCAAAAAAAAAAATGGTGATTAAAAATGTTGGCTCCTGTAGACTGACAAAAAGGTACAATTAATAGAAAACCAAATCTTAGTGTTCCTCCTGCATGGATGGCAAAACTCTCATTGAACGGATCAAATCAGAAGGCCTTGCTGAGTTTTTTAGTCAAATGGAATTGTGACTGAGCAAGGGCTGATGAAAATCTGATTGGGACAGCCAGGATTTGGCCCATTAACCATATTTAGTACGGATTTCTTCTTGCAACCTCTGAGCTAGGTCTCTCCAAAAGGCTATCAGGCAGAGATGGTTTAGGATCTTTCTGCACAAAATATTAGCTCATGCCCATTTTGGCTTTTAGCCCCTGCTTGGCTCAGGGGCAACACAGCCAATACAGCGTGAGTCTCAGTTGTATCCTGTGAGCACCTATAATGCAGCTAAATGCCGCTTTTCTCCTGTGTTCTTCCCCTTCCTCTGTTCAGAAAGGCAAAGGTAAAAAAGGTGAAACCGGTTCCTTCACAAGCTTGTGGGTGACAGAGCCATGAAATAAGGGAGATTCCACTCACATGGCATCCCCTTTTTGGCTGGGAGGATGAAGTCAGCATCTTGGCGACTCCAGGATGGTTTTACATCTTTCTCTGTATCTGATTGGTTACTCTGCCATTTTTTTTCCGGAAGAAGATATGCAAATCGCACTGGCATTTGCGTATCTTCTTCCGATTCTTTTTGCGGAAAGAGGTTTTGCCGATATTTGGCCCTGTGTAAAAGGGCCCAAATGTTGAGAAAAAAACCCTCTCTCACAAGACCCTGTAAACCTCGATTTATGAGGAATAAGGGGTCTTGCGAACGAGGGTTTTTTTCTGACATTTGGGCCCAGGGGCCAAATATCAGCAAAACCTCTTCCACAAAAAGAATTGGAAGAAGATGTGCAAATGCCAGTGCGATTTGCAAATCTTGTTCCAGAAAAAAAACAGCAGTGTAGCCATAGCCTGAGGCAACACTATAGCAGAGGCCTGCCAGGAAGGGGGAACGACAACTCTGATGTTTAAAAATCTCACCTTGCAGATTTACACTTGTTGAAACCTGCAAGCGACCTGTGCCCCATGCTGCAGAGGAAAGTGAAAAAAACCCCAAGTCTGCCAATCTGACATGGAGGAAAATTCCTTCCTGGCCCCAAATATGGCTGCCAATTAGACCCTGAGCATGTGAGCACAACCCACACACCAGACACCTGGAAAAGAATTCTCTGGAGTAACTCTGAGCCCTCCCCACCTAGTGATGAAGGGCACACTCACTCAGGAAGGAGAACTCCTTATGGTCTGCAACCAGCTCTTGCCAAGATTTTAGAGGTTTTTTTAAAAAAAGCTATTAAGCTACAGTGTGAAGGTAGGTGCAAGTGCTTAGATATAATATGATGCTTTCCATAGTGGCTTGGAATTGTTCTTTCTCATATTGAACTTATAAATAGGGAACATTCCTGCACCCCCAGCATGCGGCCACCTCTTGGGTGAAGCACATATGCTGCTCCACAATGCCATGTTGCAGGCTAAGGAAGGAAGTGAGGAAGACTATTGAATCCTATTGAAATTTTGCCCTTTGTGGCAAGAATGTCAATGGAATCCCAGGCCCTGCTGGTCCCTCTCAGCAGTCTCAGACCCGCCACCCAGATGCTAGATCAGTGATCTCCCACCTTTTTAAGCATGGGATCAGGGCTGGATTACCCAATAGGCAGACTAAGCACGTGCTTAGAGCATCAGCAAAGCAGGGGCACCTAAACAAAAGAGTTTTTTTTTTATTTGATATTTGTTATTTCAAAAAAAAGCATCGAAGTAGTCATCATGGGAAAAATCAGAACTCCGCAGAATGCTCTTTTTCTCAGCTGAAAAGAATAAAAAACCCTCAGAAAACAACGGAGGCTGCGTCTAGATTAGCAAGTTTTTCCGCAAAAGTGGCCGCTTTTGCGCAAAACCTTTCCAGCTGTCTACACTGGCCGCTTGATTTTGCGCAAAAGCACTGAAGTTCTACTGTCCGAAATCAGTGCTTCTTGCGCAAATGCTTTGACGTTCCCGTTCAGGCAAAAGCCCTTTTCCGGAAATGTTTTTGCGCAAGAGGGCCAGTGTAGACAACTAAAAACTGTTTTGCGCAAAAAAGCCCGATGGCGAAAATGGCGATCGGGGCTTTCTTGTGCAAAACCGCGTCTAGATTGGTACGGATGCTTTTCTGCAAAAAGTGCTCTTTTCCGCAAATGCTTTTAATGGAAAAACTTTTCTGTTAAAAGCATTTGCGGAAAATCATGCCAGTCTAGAAGTAGCCAATGTGTCCGGCCAGACTTGATTCACTTTCCCTATTGTGTATGGAAGTGGATATGCTTCGTCGAGTCAGCTTCGATGAACTTATCCAGAATTTTGCAATCAGAACATCTAGAAAGAAGCTATTTTAATTTCAGCAGATATGTACGTTTTGTGTCATTTTGAAATTTTATTTTACGGTATAGTATTGTTTTTATTTTGAATTACACATGGGGGGGTCACCATAATCTTTCAGTGCTTAGGGCCTCTACAGGTCTTAATCCGGCCCTGCATGCGATCACTTTTTGAATGTAAGTGCAATCCAGGATCTACCTCACACCCAAACACCCTTGTCCTGCCTCCTTCCTGCCCCTTCTCCACGGCCCCTCCCCTGCTCACTCCAGCCTCCCTCTCTCCCCCATCCTCACTCACATTTATCAGGCTGGGGGCAGAGGGCTGAAGTGCCAGGGAGGGGGGTGCGGACGCTGATCTTGGGCTAAAGGATTTGGAGTGTGAGAGGGGCTCTGGGAGGCAGTTTGGGTGCAGTGGGACTCAGGGCTAGGGCAGGAGTTTGGGGCGCAGGAGGGGTTCAGGACTGGGGCTGGGGTTCGGAATGCAGGCTCCAGCTGGGCACCTCTTACCACAGGTGGCTGCTGGGTGGCGGTGCAGGGAGCTAAGGCAGGCTCACCCCTCCCTTGGCCCTGTACCACTCCCAAAAGCAGCCAGCAAACTCTTTCCATCCCTGCCCCACCTCTCCTTTGTGGAGATGGGGTACAGGGTGAGGGGAGGGGCACCCTGACATCAGCACCTCTCCCCTTCTTCTTCCTGTGTCCTGCACAGCAAGCAGGAGGCTCCCGGGGGTGGAGGCACCTCCAAGGCAGAGGGCAGGAGCAATATGGCAGTGACAGCCTCAGGATCCCCTGTCACAGGCTCCAAGATCTACCAGTAGATCCTGATCTCCCAGTTGGCGACCACTGTGCTAGACAGTCCCATGTGCAGGGATTTCTGGGGGTGAGGTGCTTTATCTGTAAATGTGGACTGCAAGGGTGCGAACGCACTCCCCTATGGTCCCCCAAGTAAGATAGCCCCGTCCCTAGCCTCGCTCCTGGGGAAGAGTGCGGGTATCAGCTCCAGCCTGGGCCCTGGCCCACCAAAGCATGCGGGGGAGGCTCAGGCAGCGCGCCGCCCCAGCCTTCCCCTGGCTGGCCAGAGCACAGGGGAAGGAGAGAGGGGCCAGAATCAGCCCCCTGGGGACCATGGAGGACCATGGGGGATGCTTTCACACACTTTGCACCCCCCTGCATACAGGCCTGCTAGAATGGGGACAGGAAGGCAGCTAACGCCCTCTTCCAGGGAGCCAAAGGTGCTAAAAGTCACCTCCCCCGCTTTCAGTTCTGCCGCCTGCTGCAGAGCAATGGAAGAGCCCTGAGAGATTCTACAAACAACATCCCCACAGGCTGGGATTTGGTTTCAGAGGCAGGGCCAGGGCAAGAAAACGTGATGCAGAGACTGTCCCGACTCCCCACTGAAAGATAGGGTTGCCAGGTGTCCGGTTTTGAACAGTCCAGTATCTGAGCTTTCTGTTCGGGAAATAAATTGAGAAAATAGAACCGTCCGGTATTTTCGAAATAAGATGTAATGAAGATTGTGATGTCATGTCAAGTGTGTCCAGTATTTTTGTTGAAACCATCTGGCAACCCTACCGAAAGAGCAAGTCATGGGCCCCCATCTGCCACGAGCTCTGTTCTAGAACATGGGAAGGAACAAAACCAAAGTCCTCATGGAAGTCTACGGGAGCTGTTGGTCTCTCCACAAACCACAGTGGGGTTTTGCACAAAAGCATCTGTGGCCAGTCTAGACACGATTTTGCACAAGAAAGCCCCAATTGCCATTTTAGCCATCGGGGGTTTTTTGCACAAAACAGTTCTTCCCTGTCTACACTTGCCCTCTTGAGCAAGTATTCTTGCACAAGAGGGCTTTTTCCCTGAGTGGGAGCGTGAAAGTATTTGCAGAAGAAGCAGTGATTTTGTACATTACAAAGTCAGTGCTCTTGCACAAATTCAAGCGGCCAGTGTAGACAGCTGGCAGTTGCTTTTGCACAAAATCTTGCCAGTCTAGACACACCCATTGGCTGTGTCTACACTGGGCTACTTATTCCGGAAAAGCAGCCGCTTTTCCGGAATAAGCTGCGAGCTGTCTACACTGGCCGCTTGGCGATGGTTTTACATCTTTCTCTGTATCTGATTGGTTACTCTGCCATTTTTTTTCCGGAAGAAGATATGCAAATCGCACTGGCATTTGCGTATCTTCTTCCGATTCTTTTTGCGGAAAGAGGTTTTGCCGATATTTGGCCCTGTGTAAAAGGGCCCAAATGTTGAGAAAAAAACCCTCTCTCACAAGACCCTGTAAACCTCGATTTATGAGGAATAAGGGGTCTTGCGAACGAGGGTTTTTTTCTGACATTTGGGCCCAGGGGCCAAATATCAGCAAAACCTCTTCCACAAAAAGAATTGGAAGAAGATGTGCAAATGCCAGTGCGATTTGCAAATCTTGTTCCAGAAAAAAAACAGCAGTGTAGCCATAGCCTGAGGCAACACTATAGCAGAGGCCTGCCAGGAAGGGGGAACGACAACTCTGATGTTTAAAAATCTCACCTTGCAGATTTACACTTGTTGAAACCTGCAAGCGACCTGTGCCCCATGCTGCAGAGGAAAGTGAAAAAAACCCCAAGTCTG